AGAGAGAGAGAGAGAGAGAGAGAGAGAGAGAGAGAGAGAGAGAGAGAGCGCGAGCATCCAACTGGAAATGTGAGGAGGCTTTTTCTCCCAAAGCCCACGCCCAGTGACATACTTTTTACAGCAAGACCACACTTCTTAAACTTCTCCAAACAGTGCCACCGAGGACCAAGTGTTGCCTGAAACTATGGGGGACATTTCTCATTGAAACCATCACAGATACCTTCCGGGAGCAAAAGGTTTCCTTGTTGAGGTCTCTTCCTTCAAAGTACAGTTTTAGGTCCACGTGAAGACGACGTCCTACAGGCAGGGATGTGAAAGCTGGGTTCCATAGTGTCACGGGGCTTTTGTCTCTGGAGAGTCAGCCAGTTCCCCAGAACAGAGCCTGGACTACATCAGGAGTGAGGACAGGACCATGCCTCACCAAGAAGGGGAGCACCCTCAGAGGAGGGCTGGAATCGTTTGTGGTGAAAGGGGATCAGGGAGAGCACCTGGAATGGTGAGAGGTGGCAGGAAGGGAGGAGGAGGTGGACATGAGACCATTTTCCATCTTCAAGTCTGTACTGCCTGGAGTCATCCGAGGAAGGAGCCTCGGTTGAGGAAATGCCTCCATGAGACCCAGCTGTAAGGCATTTTCTCAATTAGTGATTGATGGGGGAGGGCCCAGCCCATGGTGGGTGGTGCCATCCCTGGGCGGGTGGTCCTGGGTTCCATAAGAAAGCAGGCTGAGCAAACCATGGGGAGCAAGCCAGTAAGCAGCACCCCTCCATGGCCTCGGCATCAGCTCCTGCCTCCAGGATCCTGCCCTGTTTGAGTTCTTGTCCTGACTTCCTTCAGTGATGAACAGTGATGCTGAAGTGTAAGTCAAATAAACCCTTTCCTTCCCAACTTGCTTTATGGTCATGGTGTTTTGTTGCGGCATCAGAAACTGTAATTAAGACAAGTTGGTACCAACGTAGTTGGATGTTGCTCTGACAGACTTGATGATGTTTTGGGGAGGATTGTGGAAGCACTTTAGAACTTTGGGCTAGGAAAGCCACTGAATGTTGAGAGCTCAGTGGAATATTCTTTAGAAGCTTGGAAGATAAGAATGTTGAGAGCAGTGAAGACAATAGAGGCCTGGCTTGTAAAGTATTAGAGGGAAACTTTATTGGGGCCAATTGTTACTTTGAATTAAGATTCTGTGGTTCTGGTTAGCTGGGGCTGAAGAATCAGCTGTGATTAGCAAGATACCATGTGGTGATATTTTATTTGTACTGAAATGTGATATTTTATTTGTATATTAATAAAGTTTGCCTGGAGATCAGAGGTCATAACGAGCCATAAAACAGGAGTCAGGTGGTGGTAGCACATGCCCTTAATCCGATCACAGGGCAGTCAGAGTCTCGGTGTGGTCAAGGACACAGTCAAGCGTGGTGATACACGCCTTTAATCCCAGCAGCAACCATAGAGACCTGGAGGTCTGTATAGACAGGCAATGGTAAGGAAGTCATGTGGCTGGGCTTAGGGCCAATGAGAAGGCAGAACAGGAAGACAATAAAAGCACAGGTTAGACAGGAAGAAGCTCTCTCTCAGGAAGCAACGGCGAGGTGGTAAGCTGAGGCTAGCCGTGGCTTTTCGCTATTTCTCTGATCTCCTCGACTATTATCCCTGTATTTGGCTCTGTGTTTATTTAATAAGACTGTTTAGAAATTTGTCTACAATACCAGAACTACTAAAGTGAAATTTTGCTTTGTTGGGATACTTGATGCTAGTTAGCTGGAGCTAAGAAATTAGCATTGGTTAAGAAGAGCAGTATCAGCCGGGCAATGGTGGCACATGCCTTTAATCCCAGCACTTGGGAGGTAGAGACAGGCAGATCTCTGTGAGTTCCAAGATAGCCAGGGCTGTAATGCAGAGAAACCCTGTCTTAGGGGGAAAAAAGGAGGAGGAGGAGAAGGAGAAGGAGAAAGAGCAAGCATCACTTGTGAAATCTTCTGGGATTTGTGTCCTGAGAGGACAGAGAAGCTGTGTTCCAGAGGCAGCCAAGGTTGTACCTCGTGCCGGCAGCCAGACTTGGTAATGTGTAAGAGTCTCCCAAGTGGTACTTGTGTTGTAGGAATGAAGGAGTTATGGAGAGCAGCTGAGGCTTGGCACTGGGAGAGGCCAGGAGAGGCCATTAGTGAAGGTCCAGGACTGAAGAGGTCATGCGGAGACGCTGAGGCCTGGCGCCATGAAGAGAGCCTATGAGAGGCTGCTGGTGAAGGTGCAGCCCAGTTGCAGCAGAGACCCCAGCATTTCGGAGATGCCAGTG